TATATATTGTGCCCCCCCCCCCCCCCCTCCTGTCCTCACCATACAAATGTTACTGCAAATAGTAGACTCATCCTAAAAACACTACTCACTTTTGGTTCAACATATATACTTAAAAACTGATTTCCAATAATACCCAGAGAACTACTCCCCAGATAAAAATCAGGCAACTTTCCAAACTTTCTTCATTAAATAGAAAAGATCCCCCAAACCGTGACAGTACACACCCCATAGGTAAGAAAGACAGCCAGTGTGCAAAGCCAATTACTAAGCAGGAATCAAGATGTGCAGAGATGTATCACAAATATCTTAAAATCTAAAATCTGCTTACACCTGTCTGGCTGGAAAACATACAGCGAGAGATTCAGATAGCAGGCAAGGGAGCCATGGGACTATGCATTCCCTGGAGAGAGTACAGAATGCACTGACTCTGGACCGAGAAAACAGATATCTCAGCAAAATAGCTTAGTTTTTGCAAATCAAAGTTTGGGATTAAGTTTTTGGTAGAGAGAAATTAGTTTTTTCCCCCTTCTTTTTTAATCAAAACTTTTCACCTTATTACATACTGTTTTCATAAAAAAATTAATTTCAGACAATGATCCTGAACAAAAATTAGTAGTAAAGAGACTTAAGCAAAATTGATCATCAGTTTTTGTAGACTTTAAGTATAACAATAAGATAAAAATTGATTGCACAGTTTAAGGTTTCCATGCTGTCTTGAGCAGATTTTACCACAAAATACATCCAAGTTGTCAAACTGCACTCGGTCTTTAATTCTATACCCACTTTTGGTCAATACACTTTGCCTAAAGCAGGGCAGCTTTCTCAAGAATAGAAACCTTATCTAATTACTATGGATTAATTCGATCTGTTGTATAACAAATATCCTCAAAATATGAAAGTCATTCATCAGGAAACAAGAATGGGAGCATTTTCCATTGGATGAATCAACATGATCACTTCTGAGACCTCCTCTCTTCTTGGCTGAAGAATGTTCCTCTTTCATAAACTCAACCTCAGTCTCTGCATTGTAACAATTTTAAAACTTTATTGGTCTATGTCAGAATCAGGTTTATAAAAGTTGTAGTACTGAGATAAAGAAAAAAGTTGGTTTCTTTACCCTGTACTTAGAGGGTTTTTTTCCCTCTACATGGTCTGTTGAAAGCATTGGGCACTTAACATACTTATTTTCAGCACCTGGCATTGAACCTGCATGCATTAGGAGGGGGAGGGGATCCAGATTTAGGTGTAATTGCAATGTAAGACTGCATTCCCACAGATTTAGATCGATCCATCTGGATCAACCTAACTCCCTAGAGGTTCACGCTAAATTGCTGTCAGCCAAGCGCGCACGGAAGTTAATTACCCCCTTACAGCTTTTAGTAGGCGGGACAGACATTAAAGCCGCTAAGCTGACAGTTAGTGTGAGACTCCCCATGGGGATAGATCGATCTAAAATCTGTGGGAATGCAGTCTAAGTCTGGGGATAATATTGGGAATGAGGCACATTCTTAAATAATGAACAACTGATATTCAGGATGCAGCAATCCTTGGCCAGACAGTACACTGCTATACATCATGAAATAAGTGCATTTATTTCTCAGTACCAAATATTACCCCAATTCTGCAGAGGCACAGAACGATAATCAGTATGGTAATATCAGGATTTATTCATAAATAACATGATTTATTACTGTGCACCATAATAATCTGTGTAAATTCAGCAAGTCAAAACAATCTTATTTCACCAAAGAAGAGGTTTCTGCATGTCACTATGCTTCATACCTACTTGACAAAAGAAAATAACATGCATCTTCCCTACTGCCCTTTTGAAAAGTTTTGTTTATCATTTACATCAAGTACAAAGCTGCATCTCACCAACTGTCAGCAGACATATCATGTGTCTCCTACTGAAACAACAAAAATAGAAAGAAAAACACATCCCTCAGCATGGCCATAGTCTAGCCACAGGAAAAGTGGATTATGTCTGCTTAGCAAATTTTGTTGGCTGCTCTATGATTTGACTTAACTATTCACAACATCCTCACAATGACTCATTTAAGGGCTAAAAGGTCTTCTTAATTTTCAAATCCCCAAATTTTTTTTTTGTGTCAACAAGAAACAGTACAGCATCACGAGATATTCATTCCTCAAAGAACAGTTATTTCTGGTTCTACAAGTGATGTTTGTAGCCAAAGGATATTGCCATTACAAAGTTCCTCTCCCATTGCTAATTGAAACTACTGTTGTTTGTTATTTGAGTACAGTACTATCATACTTGGTAACTGTGGTAGCCTTAACTGGCTACAATTGAAAAGTTGATTGCTTCATCACATGCTGTGGACCAGGGGTGCAGATTAAGCTGTTACCAATTTCTATCAAAGAGTTAGACCTAAATATCAATTCCTGCCACACAGCTCATAATTAACACCATTCTCTCTTCTTTTCCCTATATATATACTTTTTACTGCTCAACACCTTCAGGAAACACTTCTGAACATGTTCTCTTTCCCCACAAACTTACACTACACAGATGTTATGTTTTCAGTCAAAGAATGATACTGTATACAAACACTGGCTACAAGTGTTTAAAAACATTAACTTTATCACCCAGACAACCTCAAAATATTTCCAGTTATTACTGTCATCAAAGCTGAATTGCATATCTGTTCATTTTTAAACACCCTTCAAGTTCCAATAATGTGATTTCCTCAGTTATAAAATACCTCAAGCCCAAATTCAGATACATAAGATTAAGACTCAATTCCTGAAATTAAGACATGTCTTTGTCTTGGTGACCTTTCAATGAGAAGCATTTAGCATAAGGTTTAATAATAAAGCAGCAAAGCAATCAAATGTACAGAGAACAAGAGAGAAAAATAATCCAATCAAGTAGTTTGCCAATTTGAGCTGTATGTCAGTCATTCTTGTGAGTAAGTTACAAAATAATAAGTTACAAAAGTACTAAAATGTACTATTTTCATTTTCAACAGTTATTACATAATAACCAATTTTAAAGACCTACATTTTATGAATATTCATCGGTGCTGTAAGTTAAAAGTCAAAAGTTAAAACAGTTTTCACTTTATTTATATAATGGTGGATATAATATGCTGAAAAAGAAAAAAAACAGCATAACTTTTGAAAATGGTCCAATCAGACTGATTTTCAAACTCGACCTGTATTTTATTAACATTCATCAGTTCTATAAGCTTGAAGACAAATGGTAGAATGGTTTAGTTACAATTTATATAACACTGAAAGTGCTCGGCAACAGCAACAACAACAGACACAGGACGGTAATATGTACAGACATGTGTGTCTGTACATAGAAAATAGTAAAACTCCCGATTTCAAGGGCATCCATTCCATTAGCGCGGGCAGACTTATCATCATATAAAGCATAAGATAATTTTTAATGTAAAAAAAGAAAGAAAAAAAAAGATTGGTGCATCAAAGGCAAGAATGTGCCATCCTAAAGAAGCTTCTATTCTTGTGATATTTTCACAAGTACCTTCTAATAAAGTACAAAGGTTCTGGCACTTGATTCCTCAGGCAGCCTCTTCAGTAGCAAGCATGTGCACAGGTGTTTTCAATCATCCCCTGTCCTTCAAAAGTTATTGCTAGCAAACTCCCACAATGAAATGAAGGTTATCTAACACTTTTTTCTTTTCAGATCTAGCTCTATTGAAAATGAAAGCATGTAAATATTAATTCTGTAAACCTGACTTGATGAATCACGTTTCAATTTTCTGCTTTTTGTTTCCTTAAATTTACAGCCATGTCTGCAGTTTTTTTTTTAAATCAAAGCAATTTTCTTCACTTCTTCATATTCCACAAATATGGGAAAAAAAAGAGCCGCAACAAAGTCCCATCCTAACTACCATATAATTCAACTTGGTTTGAATATATAAGGGGCAATGGGAGAAAATTGTGTGGAATAACCACTAGAAAAGTTAGCGATTGAAAAAAAATATGGGTTTGTTTTTATTTTCTTTTAATATATCATCATCATCATTCCTCTTCGTCCCGTGTGGGACATAAGGCCACTCTTTTAATATATATATGAGTATATTTCAAAGACACCATCAGTGACAATCAGCCTACATCTCCCGCTTAAAACATGTAGGACTTCCTAGGCCAATTTCATTTTGATCAATGAGAAGGCAATCATTATCAAAACTGACTCCACATGTCTGTTTTCAACACTTAAGGTCATCAGCTGAAATAACTGAAAGTGTAATCATTACCAAGTGCATACTCCACAATTGTATAAATCAGTGAGTAAAGCCAGGCTGATATAATACGTGCTGATTGGACGAGAGATTCAGGACATTCAGGGGTGTAGCAATAGTCCGAAAGTTCACTACAGAATCTTCGGACCAATGAACCCTTGATTAAAAAATTGATAAAAATGTTACCATTTTTCGGACCAATGAACCTTCTTTGGACTATCGAGACGCCCCCAAATATTACACTTCAGACATATTGGGCATTCCACTGTAAAATGATACCCAACTTTCATTCAACTTTCATTCAGGCCTAGGTAACATCCTTGAGATGAACAGCATGACACTGCCAGGTCTTTAAAAATTTATTTACTCCATCGAACTTTGTTCAGGATAATAACATCTCTTTAAAAGCCAAATCAGAATCAGTTTTATGTTCACAAATAACGCACTGCTTGAAGCAGCCAAATAAGGACAAAATGTACGCGTGTAATTTCAATCTAAATGACATCAAATTTTCCTTAATTTAAATCTACTGACTGCCAAATTGCTGCTGTCTAAAATGCGTTGACCATGTGTTTGAAGAACAGGGAGATTGACATCCGAGTACCTCGAAAGATTTGTGGCTGTTTCAGTAAAAAGAACGTTTTTAAGGCTTGAGTGAAATATGAGGCAACAACACCGTCACGCCTCATTTAAAAAGTGACTGGGAGCGGGAGCAAATGTCAAGCCACAAAACAATCAAAGAAACACTCACAGTGCACGCTGACTTACCTGCCAAAGTCGACAAAATGCTCCCCAGCAGCACCATGCTTCCAACTGTAAAACGCCAAAGAAGTCCTTTCCCCATTCTCTTTCTACAAATCCTCTCGAACAACAGTACACTGGATTTCGTCTGGGCGTTCGAAGTCACAGCGGTCGTTTNAAAAAAAAAGATTGGTGCATCAAAGGCAAGAATGTGCCATCCTAAAGAAGCTTCTATTCTTGTGATATTTTCACAAGTACCTTCTAATAAAGTACAAAGGTTCTGGCACTTGATTCCTCAGGCAGCCTCTTCAGTAGCAAGCATGTGCACAGGTGTTTTCAATCATCCCCTGTCCTTCAAAAGTTATTGCTAGCAAACTCCCACAATGAAATGAAGGTTATCTAACACTTTTTTCTTTTCAGATCTAGCTCTATTGAAAATGAAAGCATGTAAATATTAATTCTGTAAACCTGACTTGATGAATCACGTTTCAATTTTCTGCTTTTTGTTTCCTTAAATTTACAGCCATGTCTGCAGTTTTTTTTTTAAATCAAAGCAATTTTCTTCACTTCTTCATATTCCACAAATATGGGAAAAAAAAGAGCCGCAACAAAGTCCCATCCTAACTACCATATAATTCAACTTGGTTTGAATATATAAGGGGCAATGGGAGAAAATTGTGTGGAATAACCACTAGAAAAGTTAGCGATTGAAAAAAAATATGGGTTTGTTTTTATTTTCTTTTAATATATCATCATCATCATTCCTCTTCGTCCCGTGTGGGACATAAGGCCACTCTTTTAATATATATATGAGTATATTTCAAAGACACCATCAGTGACAATCAGCCTACATCTCCCGCTTAAAACATGTAGGACTTCCTAGGCCAATTTCATTTTGATCAATGAGAAGGCAATCATTATCAAAACTGACTCCACATGTCTGTTTTCAACACTTAAGGTCATCAGCTGAAATAACTGAAAGTGTAATCATTACCAAGTGCATACTCCACAATTGTATAAATCAGTGAGTAAAGCCAGGCTGATATAATACGTGCTGATTGGACGAGAGATTCAGGACATTCAGGGGTGTAGCAATAGTCCGAAAGTTCACTACAGAATCTTCGGACCAATGAACCCTTGATTAAAAAATTGATAAAAATGTTACCATTTTTCGGACCAATGAACCTTCTTTGGACTATCGAGACGCCCCCAAATATTACACTTCAGACATATTGGGCATTCCACTGTAAAATGATACCCAACTTTCATTCAACTTTCATTCAGGCCTAGGTAACATCCTTGAGATGAACAGCATGACACTGCCAGGTCTTTAAAAATTTATTTACTCCATCGAACTTTGTTCAGGATAATAACATCTCTTTAAAAGCCAAATCAGAATCAGTTTTATGTTCACAAATAACGCACTGCTTGAAGCAGCCAAATAAGGACAAAATGTACGCGTGTAATTTCAATCTAAATGACATCAAATTTTCCTTAATTTAAATCTACTGACTGCCAAATTGCTGCTGTCTAAAATGCGTTGACCATGTGTTTGAAGAACAGGGAGATTGACATCCGAGTACCTCGAAAGATTTGTGGCTGTTTCAGTAAAAAGAACGTTTTTAAGGCTTGAGTGAAATATGAGGCAACAACACCGTCACGCCTCATTTAAAAAGTGACTGGGAGCGGGAGCAAATGTCAAGCCACAAAACAATCAAAGAAACACTCACAGTGCACGCTGACTTACCTGCCAAAGTCGACAAAATGCTCCCCAGCAGCACCATGCTTCCAACTGTAAAACGCCAAAGAAGTCCTTTCCCCATTCTCTTTCTACAAATCCTCTCGAACAACAGTACACTGGATTTCGTCTGGGCGTTCGAAGTCACAGCGGTCGTTTTGAGAAATCACACAGACACCTTCGCGGTAAAGTTGCTCAAAATACAACCCCTAAATCACTCGGCCATGTTGGGCTTCCAGATCTATCACGTGGGTTTCTTGGGCGAAGAGACTTCTCCAAAAGGGGTGAATGGATGGATTCGATCGTAACCCTTTCCGATACTAAGATACAGTTCTTCAAAATGTCAAATGTATTTCATTACTTCTGGGGCTAACATAATGCATTAAAACTCTAATATGAAAGGTGGAAAGTTTCAGAGTATTTTGAGAAAACTTTCTTGAAAGCTGCTCACCATTTGTAGTTCATTAGACCTGCCCGAGGTAGCTCGTGCAGACGACAAGTTTAGACAATGTTGCAAAAGTGGGGTGAAAAGTTCAAGGCGTCCAGAGGGGGGGGGGGGGGATAAATGGAGGATTGTTTGTTTACCAAAATTACTGACTTATGTATTATATAACATACTTTTAACCTAAGTGTTGTATCGTTATAGGTCTTCCATTGGAAAAAAGCTTTTTCAGGAAAAACTATGGGTAAGAAAATTATAACGTGATAACGCGGGCTTTTTTTTCTATAAAATGGGCTTTTGGACAATTTGGACTATATGTACAATGTTGGTTCCTACTCCATGCTACTCAACCAAGAGACTTCTTTATTTTCAAAACGTCAATATACTATGATTGTTTTACGCTTCTAAAGTACATTAGAAGTATTTGTCGTTCCATTAATTAATTCAATTAGCTTGGAGACAGTCAATTTTTATATAGATCTAGCTTCCTTTAAGAAAAGTAGGCCTATTGCTTTGGCGAAATCCACGTAAATACATTTTACTTCCTCGTTTCGCTTTTGCTTTTCTTCACGAGAATTTAATTAAAGGGATAATAACACTTCGTTTCGGCCAAAAAATGAATTTTCCTGGAGTAAACAACAATTTTCCCATACTTACCAATGGTTAATAAATCCATTTTTACATTCAAAGTTAGTCCCTGGTTTTTTCTAAAAAGTTTGGTTTTTTGTTAAAGAAGAGATTTTAACAGAGTATAGCCATCAATGGAGGTCACGTGGTTTAAAGACAAGCTCAAATATCAGAATTTCGAGCTATAACTGCAGTTTTTCTGGTAAAACAGAATATATTATATTTCTATGAGTTATTCACAATGTTTTTATTGTGAAGTATAGATCTCATACGAAGAGTTACATGTATTATCCCTTTAATATCAAGACACATCAATGCAACTTCAACGCTAATTATATAAAAGGTGTATTGCATCGGTCTGAGCTTCAGAGATCCCTACAGGGAACTAAACCGTATAGGCCTACCTTCAACATGCTTTTGTCGCTTTTAGTCATATCGGAAAATCGTAAGACATTACAGGTGTTACTGTCCCCCTCCATAACCTTTCGCACAAGCACCTCCATCCCATGAAATAACGTACGTGATTTGTGAAATTTTCGTGCACACATGAATAGATTACACGTGGGATTACCAAAGGGATTCTGTCGTATCTCATGAGTTTCTTGCGTTTGCAAATAATTAAAATGATCGGAGATGCCATTGGAAAATGTGGACATTAACAATATCGTTAATGCTACAGGTGAGACAGCCTCCAGTGCTATGTGTTTGATGTGTCTGGCACATTCGAGCACAATGACTAACAATGTTTTATCTTGAAACAAGTTATACAGAACACGTGGAAGTACATTAGGAAGAATTGTGAGTACAACTTTTAGTCCAGAAAACTTTTCATTGAAGACAAGTCAGTCGATAAAGCGATGCAATCATGTATTAGCATGGTCTACTTTTAGTGTGAACTGTACTAAAATAGGTGTTAAAATAAATTAACACATGAAATCACACTGAATACTAGAAAACTCGACGTAGTAAGCTAGGGTTGTTTGATAGGTTAAAATGTCTACAGACACGCTGTTAGGAGACCAGTGATCACTGCCAGGAACCGCTACGTCGAGTCAGATGGTAAAGCAGAATTCTGGCAAGGACACCGGCCAACAACTGGGTAATGGTACTGTTCCCAGATGAAAGCAGGTTCAGTGTTATCAAAAACGATGGACGCGTTAGGGTTCAAATAAAAACAGCTGGAAAGAAGTGCCTTTCAAAATTTTCTGCCTCTGGCCGACAAGACGCACCCCACATAAGTCATGGTATGGGGTGTATTGGCTAGCTATGGTGTGGGCAATCTGGTTTTGGTCTACGGGAAGCCTTAGACTGCATTCCCACTAATTTAGATCGATCCGTCTGGATCGACCTAAGTCCCTGGGGGTTCACGCTAAATTGCTGTCAGCCGAGCGCGCACTATAGTTAATTACCCCCTCACAGCTTTTAGTAGGCGGGACAGACATTTAAGCCGGTTAAGCTGACACCAATCTAGTGAGACTCCCCAGGGGATAGATCGATCTTAAACTCTGTGGGAATGCAGACTTGGGCTCTATTCCCATAGATTTTAGATCGATCTATCCCCGCGGGGAGTCTCACTAGATTACTTTCAGATAATCCGACTTAAATGTCCGTCCCGCCTACAACAAGCAGTAAGGGGGTAATTAACTTTCGTGTCCGCCCGGCTGACAGTTATTTAGCGTGAACCCCCAGGGAGTTAGGTCGATCTAAAGTAGGTCGATCTAATCTATGGAAATGGGGTGTATGGAAATGGAGTGTTAAAGCAGAACATCCGAACTTTGGAAAGGAACTTAAGGGTAGTAGTAGTAAAACGACCAAAGGCATAGAAACAATGGCATATTCTTATAGGTTTTTATAAAAAAAAAAAATAAAAAAAAACATACTTCCTAAAGGCCAATTTAAGACAGAGATGAAGTGCAGTGTCCAACGGATGACGCTGTACATAGCGCCATTTTTGGGGAAAAAAAGACCGTTATCGGTTTTGGATTTTCTCCATGACCAAGACAGCTATTTAACTGATTCAAACGAGGTGAAAGCACTCCAAAAGGAAACCAGGGGATTGTCTTAAGCTATTTCCCTTTGATTTGATCGTCTTTTATGTTAAATTACCCCACATTTCAATGGGTTATTCACTTCANGGTGGTATCGTTCAAAAGGCAAAATAACGCCTTTGTTCAATGAAAAACTGCTCATAAATCCATTAAAAAAATGACGGAACGGGATTGTACCCCATACTTTCGTGGTCAAGTCTGCCCATGTTCGTGATGAAATCTTGTTCAGGGATGAAGTTACGCCCCATACCGATTGCTATCTCACCGCAAAATAGAAGGGTGTTCAACTGACGATTAAATCTTTGAGCTGCCCATGCTTTTACATTGCAACGAGATATATAAACGCTGATATTTTATATTTCGAGGGTTTTTTATTGTTTTAAATCAGCAAATAGATAGATGTATTATTGAATAATAAGATGCAGGAAAAACATCATTATTGGTATCGAGATGCTAATAAAGGCTTACAATAGCCTTAACCGACTCTTCGGTAATGAAATGATAACACTGAGGTGGCTTTGTGATTACCAATTTCAACACAGTACCCTCAACAATACTGGCATCAAGTCAATGTTTGCATTTACTTTACTTTAACTTCTTCTTTCATACATTTGTATCACCCTGAGTTTCAGAGGACAGTCGAAAGACGCCTCTCTAGTTTTAGCAAGCCTCCGCCGATACTGGAAATGAGGTGAGTTTCCAAAATTACCTGAAACGCAGGTTATTATAAAATGACTTAAAGCCAGCATTTATTGAATCCGAGCACAAAGAAAGCAAAATAAAAATATAACGAGTTTTTTTTTTGTTTCGAATAAAAGGAAAAGAAAACAGGAAAAACAGCGCATTGTTCTGGTGGAATTGACAACTTTCTACTACTTGGCTCTTATTAGGGATTACACTATCAAGTTCAAAAATTAAAACAGGCAATGAGAATACAGATAAAGTTATACATTAAAAGGTTAAATGTAACATACTTGTTATTTGATCCCCGGTAACATTTCAAATCAAAAACACGGTAATGTTATCAAATTTACCCTCATTTTTGAATTCTATGGTAGAGGAATTTAAAATGGAAATAAGATCTCCTCAAACAAATGAATTTTAAACTACTTATATACACCAGGGCAAACTTGACAAGAAAATGAAGATTAATGATTTATTATTTGAGAATAGTGGATGTATCTCGGACTCATTTAATGCATTTTGGTCTTTGATCTCTCGCACCCAACATATTTATAGCTTCCTACCATTAGAACGTATTCATGTTATAGGTGATTTAAGAAGAAATATACTGCAGTTCGTTAGTTTTATTGACCTTGGCCCTTTTCACCTCGAGCGGTACAGTTTTCTGTATCGTGCCAGTTTGGCTGGTCTTAATATGAAATTACTCTATAGGAGAGTTTCACCCCATTTCCATAGATTTTTAGATCGATCTATCCCTGTGGGGAGTCTCACTAGATTACTGTCAGCTTGGCCGGCTTAAGCGTCTGTCCCGCCTACTAAAAGCTGTAAGGTGGTAATTAACTATGGTGTCCGCTCGGCTGACTGCAATTTAGCCTGAACCCCCAGGGAGTTAGGTCGATCTAAAACTTAATCCTTAGATCGATCTAAATCTCTGGGAAAGCACCCATTAACTCCGTTCTCATGTTGATAATCACTCGCAGAAAAACACCAGTAACGTTTACAAGTTACAGCTAAGACAGGGTGCCCATATCCTAACTTACTAGAAGGATCGATCAAACTTCGAAGGGATTCTCGCTAAATTGCAATAACTTTCGTGCACGTTTTAACTGAATGTGATTTAGCGAGAATCCCCTCGGAGATAGATCTATCCCGCTAGTAGGATAGGGTTATGGGAATGGTCCGTTTCACGTTGGCTCCAAGCAAGTTTTCAACACCAGTCTATTCATTAGACTGGGGCAGGGCAACGGGGTTGAAGGGAAGGGAAAGGGGGGGGGGGGTTATAAAGTGCACACCAGAGTAGAAGACTGATTGCATCAATGTAATGGTCTAAAATCAAGAACATATGTGCTTGATATGTTCTATTCGCATTATATAAGAATGACTTTTAAACGTAATAAGCCAGAGCTAATGTGTCATGGTCTTTGTGTTAAGGCAATTTTAACCGTAAATTACTTCTTCATGTCGTCCCTTGGGTGTTTGTCTTTACACAGAAATTTAAGACTCAGTTTTAAAAAAAGATTATTAATTCAAAAAGAATTTAACGTATAAACATATTGGAGAGTAATTTGCCTTTATTTTGATTCTGCACAAGACCGCGTATTTTTGATATAAAATCACACATTCATTTTTTTTACACAGAATTGCTAGCTTTAAGCCTAGATTACATTTACACGGGCGCCGTGCGATGAAATTGTCCGTACGATTTTTTTTGAAATTGTAAGGAGCTACGGGCTACGCCGAGTATGTCTACATTACATGGCCTGAAATCCGTACGATTCCATGCGATTTCGCACGACCACTGTCTACCTCCGCTCAGACGCCGTACGAAAAGGGTATTACGGGCAGTATGCATGCACCGGGCATCGCATTTTAAATGTAATCTAGGCTTTTACAGTGCTGGACACCTTAAACCTTTCTTCACCTTGTTTATCTCAATAAAAATGCTGCGCTCCGTATGGGTCGTAGAGTAGGAAGTGTGGTAGAGACGCTCTGTTTTGGGTGCTAAGAAAAATATGTACAGCCATGAACACACCTTTTATGCTTTTGATTTTACTCCACATGTAAAATGACATTGTTTCTCTTAATGCAAATGGTGTTCCTTATAAGTTATCCATATTTAACTTTCAATATCTTCATCTTTAAGAAAGGCTTTTATTCGAAAATGACATCCATGATACATGGCTGAACAAGAAACAAATTCATTATGGATCAATTTACAAAACATAGGATTTTTGAAAATGGTTTGCAACCACATCAACCTTTTAGACGATTGGTAACAGTATGCTTTTCAAAAAAGTTACTAGTTACTTCACTTAAACTGTTAATTGGAAGTTTAAAAAAATGATATAGCACATATTTACAAAGCAAAGTTTTAATGGTACACAAAATGTACAATAAAATTGGTATACAATTCTTGAAGAGTAATCAAACTTATGAAATATAAATAGTCTACACAAAAACGACTTATTTCTCATAAAGTGAAAAATATACTATACAGAGTGTCCCCATGTTCCTAACATTTCAGTTACTAACTTTCAAATATATTAACTTTTTTGTGTGTGGAATACAGAAATTGTTGACTGCATTTCAGCAATATATTTCATGTTGAAACTTTGATGATCTGTAGTCACATACATACACTTATACTGTACTTGTGTTCGAGTTTTGAATGATTAGACTTATGAACAACTTTGAAGAATGTTACTGAAGACTGTAGGCAGTGTTTTTTTTTACTGAAGTTGAGTCAACGGGGGAGGGGGGAGGGTAAAAATGTTCACTTTTTGCTTTTTTTTTTTTGAGAAAAAGAACCCCTGTTTGAAATTGGTGGCTACATGCTTGTAATCTTTAAGTAACTTGGAGGTCACTCTCCATGTTATTTTCCTAATGCTGTTTGAATATCACTGTCTTCATTCTGTAAGTATATTAGTTATCAAGACAAATAACAAATACAACAACTTTAAAAAAAACAACAGACATACATCTACTGTTCAAGGACAAGGTGTGGAATACTATGTTCCTATGTTATGATTTTAAAAATTTGATGCTAACGATAGTTGGTAACTACTGCAAAAATGTGGAAACACTGAAAATTGTCTAAGTGATTTTGGTCTAAAATCTTATGAAGTGTCTCTTTAAAGCCTAGATTACATTTACATGGGCACCGCCCAGTACGTCTACATTACATGGCCTGAAATCCGTACGATTTTGTGCGATTTCACACGGCCACCGTCTACCCCTGCTCAGACGCCATACGAAAAGGGTATTATGGGCAGTATACATGCACTGTACGGGCATCGCATTTTAAATTCAAATACTAATGGGATGTACACAGCTTATTTCTTTATGTCCACCTTACATTGAGGAAAAATAATAATAATTAATTCAAATTAAAAGAATTAAAATGATGTCTCACTTAATATATATTATTATCATTTCTGAAACTTAAAATTTATCTCTGTAGGATTATGCTCCACTGTCGCTTCCTTTTTACAGCATATTCAGATCCAAATTTTTGTTTTAGTAAACATATGGTATGATAACATATTTGACGCGTTCACAGTAATGGTCCCAGTGAGCGCCATATTTTTTCCTGCACATGGCATCATCACGCATCGCTCTGTGCACCAGCAAGATGAAGAAATAAATGGGATAGAAGTATGGTAACAGAGAGGAAAATCCTGAAATTAAGAAACGTAAATGTATATGACAAACTTACATTCCGAACTTTTGATATTGTGTATTATCTTATTAATCTTATGCTAATGCATTAAAAACTTGGCTGTTGTTGAAACAAAAAGTCTGACAAAAAGCTTATTAAAACAATAAAAAAATAATATTATATTTAATTCAGTTAATGTATAAGATATATAAATTACAAATCAATTTCTGTCACAAACTCTTTATATAAACATGTCAGGAATGTGTTAAAAATATTACAAGAAATTAAAAGGAAACTTTTTAAAATTATAAGTTGAAATTAATACTTGAAACTGTTAATGAGGTAAATCCCTCATAATCCCTTAACACAATGCAACGGAGGGCTTAGAAATGCTATTTTTAACTTACCACAAGGCAGAGACCAGGCCAGCCCTATAATCAGGTCCCCAAGGTAGTTAGGATGTCGACACAGCCCCCACCATCCTGACACCAACAGTCTCTTGCCTGGCACATTGGTCGGCATACTCTCCAGATCTATGTGGAATAAAACAAAACTCTTTTGTCAGTATTTTATGCTGTTTATAAACATTGCACTTTTCCTCAGACTGAAAAGAATCCTTTGCTTTTCATTGTCTTCTGACATATTGTGTGCAATCTCAAACATCTACTTTATTTTCATACGTTAAAAGTATTTTATCAAATAAATTAAAAGAGTGCATGCAAAAACAAAACTTGCTTTCAGCCTGTGTTGTGTGCTTCAAAATGCTTACCAATCCAATTTCAAAATCATATCATTTTCCATTATGATGTCTATATTTTTTAGTAATTACTGCAACTCAACTATAAGACATTGTTTATAATACATTTCCAGAACATATGTTTTACTTACGAGCTAATGCAGGATCATAAGGATTTTTCCTGAACATGTTCTTTTGAGAGTTGGATCCACGGAAGATTAAGAAACCAATCACTGAAAAGATTGCTCAAGTTATCAGAGTTTCTAAATCCATGTTTGAAATGTCATAAAACTTTAAATGGTGAGAATTTTGCTCTACTTAATATTGAAAAAAAAAATTATATTCAGTTGATACATTTTACTTTGAATGTGCACTTATTAAGAGGAAGCTGATATTTAGGCTTAGGAATTTCCGAAACTACTGAATTAACAATCAAAGTGTTTTCATGGAGTATATTGTGCCCAAATTTTGCCGATATGATTTTCCACAATAAGCTTTCATTTTTGAGTGTTTACAGCGATAATATAAATTATTCCAACATCAAACAATAATCACTTGAAAGTGGCAACGTACAAAATGCAATTTAGTGTGTAGATGAAGGATGCCATGGCAGTGAATAGCCACCACAATTCTTTAAATATGACAGAAAATTTCTTCATGATGACTAGCGTATTACAATGACACAAACCACTGTGTAACAAGACAGGTAACCTACTGTTGAGTAGTGCTACAGCAGACAGAGCCCACCATGGCAGCGACTGTGGGTGCTCCAGTAGGAAGCGTGGCTGAAGACTGTACAGGAAGGGCACCCATGCCAAGTCACCAAAGCAAAGCATGAACCCAAAGCCTTCATGGATAATGTCCATGGTGGTGAGAATGGCTTCCTGAAATTACAGTTAATATATATAACACTAGAGGTGTGTTAAGACAGGGCAACTTTGGAGTCGAAATTAACTGAAGTTAAATCAAGCTGTGTTCACACAAGACAATTTTAGAATAGAAATTGGTCTTAATTCATCAAATGACCAGTTTACACATACCCAATTTAGTTATTGATATTTGGTTGCCTAGAATTGTGAGCAAAGCCAATACTCTGTTCTGATTCCTGTCTACAAAAAGACTTTATTCAAATGCAAGTTCTCAGAGTGCAAATTACAGACTGCTAACAAATACTTGCAGATGTAAAAAAAAAAGTTGTGTGCAATCTTACCTCACTCCAGAGTGCATCAGCAACATACAGAAGCTGAAAGCCACACACCATGATAAGTGGGTAGTTTGGCCATCCAGATTTACTACCATAAGCTTCTGCCAGGAAACACATGTTGATGGCCACCCAGCCAATCAGCCCAGGGCGCAACTCACAGAAGAATTTCCAGTCAAAGCTCCCTATGCGTGGGTTCAACTCCCGCCCCATCCAGAAATCATATATGGCATTGCCTGAAATGAAAGGATTTTGATGCAGTGCATGTATATCCCTTGCACATTTTCTATACACGTATGTGTCATGTGTTTTTTTTAAATTCACGCTACCTATCGTTCTTTCTTCGTCTGAATACAATGGCATGTATGCAGTATAAAATGGCATCCTTACATTGTGCTTGTTATCCCTATCTTTGCATTATTTTATCTTAATATTTTGACTCGATATTCATTTGAACTTTAAAATATTTTGGTCAGTATTTAATTGGAAGTTTTAAAAAGACATCTGTAAATAATAATGCACTGGTGGATCCAGGACTTTGCTAGAGAAGGGGGGGGGGGGTTACAAGGATAGAATTTTGCTATAGAAAGCAGGGCCAATAGGCATCTATAAAAATATTTCACTAATCTATGCAGGGCACAGGGATGGAAAAACTGCTTCATTTTTAATAATTTCGTTTGTTGTGTTGTCTTTGTGGGGTGGAGAGGGGGATACCTCAAGGGAGGGGGGGGAGAGAAGGGGCACATGGATGTTGTGTTCACCACCCCCTTCCTGCTTGATCCACCATTGTAATGGAGTACAATATTAAATCTGATATTGTAATTATAAATTTTTAAAACCTACCACTTGCTGCGAATGCCAGGGCATTGGGTTTGGCACTCCTAGCCCTGATGTATAAGACCAAGCTTAGAACTACACTGAATACAATGGCAGTGGTGATAAGCTGAAGCCACAGTGTGTGGACAGTGGACAGGTCCACCTTGAAGTAAGCCTGACCAACTCCCAGGGCAACCAAACTGACCATCAGCGCTATGAAACCTAGGGGAAAAAATAAATATTGTAAAAATGTTGGTTAAATGTACTTTGCAGTTTAAACTTGTATCATAATTGTTTGTCAAAATGTTGGTTATAAACAACAATGGCAATCACCCAATTGAAAGGTTTGTGAACAGCAAGTGAAATGAATTGATTTTGCTTTGCAGTGATTGAAATCCAAAACTTGAAAAAAAAAATACTTGTTTGACTTATATACTGACTTAATAATTGTAAGTGGGCAAGTCAAATAAGCACTTTATTAAAATATTACAAACCTTGACAAGGCAACAAATATATTTGAAGACTTGAATGACAATTAATAAAATGGTTGCTAGCTTCCTTTATACACTGAAGAAGAAATAAACTTGTAAAGAAAGCTTACCATTGCATCTATACTGAAGCCTCTGTAGGCCTTTGACAGGTTGACCAGATACAACTTTGCCAACAGGAAGAACAGCCAGAACCACTTGGAACACGAACCAGCCAAGTCCAATCATAACTGCTTTAGAGTCAAAGTAATTGCTCAACTTCTTTGGGATTGATGGTATTGCCAATGTACAGGATTTCTACAGAAATAAAGATTGTTTTTCTTAATTTTTTAAAAAGCAAATCTGGTTGATATTTTCGTTTTGTAAAATCTTCTGTAAATGTTGAGACATACAATGCAAGACCCCTCCCACTGCATGCATGCAGAAACAAATTAATATACATTTTATATATAATTATCAAGATGACTAACTTAACAGTCCACAGCGTTGTATTCCAATATCTATCAACATAACGCCAGAGAACTTTTTAATATGTTAAAAAAGGGGAGTCACTTACCGTGTACGTCCAAATATATATCTTTACTTATTTATCATTATTTGTGACACTGAACTTCGTCTGCTTTCTGTTATCACTAGTAACAATTACATAAATGAAATTATTACACGTTAACAGCTCACATTACCTCTGTGCACATAATATTGATGACATAAACAGTTGCCGGTAGAAGCACAATACAGAAGAAAGCTCCAACAGGTCCACCAAACTCCGAGTCCGCAACAGGTTTGTCGGCGACTGGCTTGTCGGCAACTGGTGTAGCAACAGCGGGTCTGGCGGGGCTGGGTTTTCTTTCCATTTCAGGTTTCTTCTCCACTTCTTCAGGTCCGTTTGTCTGTAAGATAGACACTATGTGATGGTATGATCATACAATGACCGAGCCAAGATATCGTTCGAGGTTGGATGAACTTTGACCTGCCGCATGTTTACCTGGTAACAATCGTACGACGTATCGTCTAGACGTCTGTCAAATGCATACACGTAGAGGCATCGTTATAATTTTCTGTGAACAAACGTTACTGACTACCACTTGTTCTTCGGTTTACATCTGGTGTCATTTGGGTTAATACTCCAAACATAAACCTCGTTTTCATCACATGCACAGCTTATGTGTGTAATAGTTGAACATGCTAATTTTTGAAAATTGAAACGGGCCTATGCTGTCAGAAATGATATAAAGTGCAAATAAAGATAATTGTCGAGTCTTAATGATGGTAATTGTAAACAAGATCTGACACTGTGGCAAACTCCTAACAAACTCATTTCTGTAACTTGCGTGCTTTTGGTTGCGTCAGGTCTTATCACTTTTGACTGACCATTTCTAACCTTCAATTCTGTCCAAATCGACACGTTATATACCACCCGTCTCACTACCAAAAAAGCGCACTTTCACAGTCACATACTCAATATTAGTGAAAAACACCCTAAACTGCCTATTTTTAAAGCAAAACGTACACCAGGAAATTTCAACATTTCATTAGGTCCCAGTTTGTAGTAGGACGCATCAAGGGGGTTGAACTCTTAAGGCTCGTTGATATTGGTCTTTCACACACAGTAACAGCCAGTTCACGTTTTATTTAAAGGTTACTGTGCGTTAGAGACAAATACCAATTACTATCGAACTACACGTATCCCCATCCGGGGAGCTCAACCTCCTTGTACGCATAAAGGGCTAGGGGCGACAAGGCAAATAAAATTCATTAACTAAAACGGTTTTTGGTCATCTTTGACCATATACTTCATTTCTAGAAAATTGCCGTCTTCAGTGTTAGGTAATGTGACACAAAATACAACATGGGAAAAGTGAAAAATTTTTATTTAGGCAAAAATACAAACTGTACAGCTATTTCTGGCAAAAGAACACACTTATTTACATTTCTAAATTGATTTTATAAAACCCCTGAGTTCACCAAGAAATACAATTTCTCTGTAAACTGTGTAAAAAGCAAGTCGGTAATAAAGCAATATGTTGATTTGATGGGCACTTCAAACAAGCATATACACATTTGTGCACTAGAAGCAGTGTGCAGTTAAAAAATCCATATGGTCATAACAATGCATTGTATGGTTTCAACCACCTTTCCTTCTATCTGTTTTTTACAGTAACAATTTTAAAGTTTCCATCTATGTGTAAAATTGAAAATATAACAGGCTGATATCAACTTACATTACATGGTGTTCTACACAACAAACTCCTAAAATGTACATCAATATTCACATATCTAACACAAGTTTTACATTAATAAAGAATGCTGATAGTAAATAGTAAGTTGTTTCCAAATTTCATGTTAGAATTGCATTTATTATATGCCAAACAAACAAAAAAGCTCTTTATAAAATATTAAATTCTATCATTAAAAGATAAATAATAAATATGTTAAAAAGTAATACTGACTTTCTAGCTATGAAATGTTGTCTATTATTTCTGAAATATATTAAAACTGTTGAATCCCAAGTAAATTCTTTTCACAGTTCATCACTGTCTTTTGCACAAAAAAGACATTCAAGAAATGATGAACAAACTTTCTCGGTAACCAACATTTAAAATTATGTAAGTCTTAAAGAAATAGTCATTCATTGTGGCGAGGGCAGTTTCTTTGTCATAATTTCATACAACGTATGAATTCAAGCAACAAATGTCTCGAAAATAATTTACAATCTAACAAGGTAGGAATAATATTGTACATATTCAGATCCAATCTTCTCTGCTGTCTGTTTGAAGCATTTAATAAACAAATGGAATTAACTTGTACTTCACACGCTGGCAACAGCGGTCCCATGTAGAGCCATATTTCTTACTGGCCTCAGCCTCTTCCTTGCGCACACTGTCCATACACAGCAGTGTCATCAAAACTGGGAAGACGTAGACCAGTGGAGTGGAGAAACCTGAATGGAATTAAATTCAATTTTTTCTATGAGTATTGCTGGGAATATAAGGTGCTATAATGAGTGCAACATCTTTCAATACTGGACTATACTTAACAGTTAGAAATGGAAGTGGAGGCTTGATTAGAGAGCACCACTAACAAAGACATTAGCTCATCAATGATTTATATCCATTTTAACTGCATATTGGTAAACCAGGCAAAAATATCTTCAAAATACCTTAAATGGATAATGGACTGTTTAATTTTTATGCAACTTACCACAAGCCAGTGACCATGCATATATCAAAACAAGTTCTGCAAAGTATAGAGGATGGCGGCACATTCCCCACATTCCTGACACAAGCAGCCGCTCCCCTGGGACACTGGTCGGCATGCTCTCCAAGTCTGGAAATGAGTTGTTAAAAAAATGGCATAAGAAAGAAAATGGAGTTAAAGACAGTGCAGCTATTCTTCTAAAATGTTTTTTCCCTTTGGCCACACTTTTTTTAATTTTATGGATGACATCCTGCGCGCGCACCGATTTTCGTCCGTTCTCCGAAAAAAAAAAANTAATAAAGAAAAAGTGAGCTTTGCTGTGTAACCTTTGCTAAATTCAGTGAATAGCCCATATTCAGAGGAAAAGCAATATCTAGGCAATGTAAAACGCACAAAAGAATTCAAAGTATTTTGCATTGGTATGAGAATTAGAAAATTAGCTAAAAACACTGAGGTGATTGACTTCTAACACAAGTTAGAAAACTTATGCTTTGTTCAGGGCATACTTACGTGATAATGTTGGGTCATAGGGGTTCCTTGTGAATCTGGCATTCTGTGAAACTGTTGACTGATAAAGGATGAAACCAAACACTGGAAAAAAGAAACCAATACCAAAATGTAATGAACTGATAAAAAAAGGTGTACATATATAAATCATAAAAAAGCAAATCCGACTTTAAAAAAAAAAAAAATTGCTTAACAACATTACCATCCGCATTTACTAATTATGTGATACTGTTAATGTGGACATTCAGAAAGATGTAACTGGCACAGGGCTTCAGGCCCATGGGAGTTCAAAGTCACACTTTAAACTGCCAATGTGTGATTAAAAAAAGTTCCAAGAACACTGCTAATCAGACTGGACTTATATTTTACAGCTTTTAAATACTCCTGACCACCAGTTATTTTGAAAATAAGGTTTTCCATTTATTGCATTAACAGTAAAAAGGCAACAATACAAAGGTCATGGCTTTATGTTAAAAAATAATGATTAAAATAAAATAAATAAATAAATAACAATAATAAATAATAATACATAAGTAAATGCTACTTACAGTTTAGCAGAGCCACACTAGCTAGTGCCCACAATGGTGGAGTTTGAGGGTGCTCTAATAGATATCGTGCCTGGATGGAAGAACCAAATGGTCCTGCCAACATGAATCCATAGATGAACATGAATCCAAGCCCCATCTTGGTTATGTCAGGCATAGTCAGAAACATATCCTAAAAACAAGAGATTTTAATATTTGTTAACTTATGTCACTGTTATGCAATTACTGACCTTGAAATGAAGTTGATATGCTCTTTGGCAGTCCTCGGAAAAGTTATTTTACTTTTTTATTTACATCTAACAATGCTGACTAAAAGCAAAAGCTGAGCATTTTGTTATATAATTTTATACCTGAATGCCAATGCCTTACAAGATTATCTTAAAAGGTTTAATGTCCAATTTATGGAATACCATTAACCTATACCAACACAATGAGGTGTGCACCTGATATATTTTAAACATGGTCAGTAACATGTGAGATACTTAGTACTGATATCGTAAAACCCTAATAACCACCGCCAAGGAGGTTATGTTTTCACCCCTGTCTGTTTGTTTGTCATCAACATAACTCAAAAAGTTATGAACTGATTTTGATGAAATTTTCAGGGTAGGTGGTAAATGGGTAACTTAGAAAAGATTCGTTTTTGGTGGTGATCCGGATCAATAATCAATAATAATCAAAAATTGCTGCCTTGGAGGAGTGCTTTTCTAGTTTTAAAATAATCTACAACTCATTGGAATGACAATTTCAATTACTCAATTGATATACCTCATTCAGTACTTGGACAGCACAGTGCAAAACCTGCACACCAGCTACCAGAAGGAATGGGTAGTTTGACATCCCTGATTTGCCAGTGTATGCCTCAACCAAAAAGATCACATCAACAGCCAACATGCTGAGGTATGCAAAACGTATCATAAAGAGTTTCCAGTCAAATGTCCTTATACGAGGGTTCAACTCGCGCCCCACCCAGAAGTCAACCAAAATATTACCTGAAATAAATAAAAAAATAATAATTAAAAAAAAAAAAAAAAAAAATTCAATAATAAACAGAAATCTTGCTTTGATGAAAAATATATATGTGCCAAGTCAATTGTTCAGGTGTCCTATATGTCAATTATTGTTACTGTCTTGCATTACACCATTCTTTTATCAAACAATGACAAACAAATAGTACCCTGCTTTCAAAAAACTTCACAACTTTTATCCAATATTAACATAAAATTAGAGGGTTAAATCATTAATAGGTCTTGGTAACAAACAGTTCCCAAATTGTCAGAACCCAAACCTTGTTAAGAACGATTAAATATAATTAATCCAACTGCCATGATATACTAACCAGTGGCTTCAGGTGCCACAGCACTTGGTTTGGCTTTCCTGGCCTGGATGTACAGGACCACACTGAGAACAAGGGACAACACTGTGGCAGCAGAAATCAACTGGAGCCACAGAGTGTGAACAACAGCCAAGTTCACCTTGAAGTAAGCATGGCCAACAGCCATGGCTACAAGACTCAACACCAGTGCTATGGAACCTGGAAATACAACTTCCTGTTAGTGAAAGGGTTTATTTAATATTTAAACTTAACATATGACCCAAAAAAGAAATATGGATGCCCAAAAGTTGATGTATTTTCATGCCCCTTCATATAAATTTGATTAAAATTAATAAAGTGAATAATTAATTAACAGTTACTTGCATGACCTTAATACTGGAAAAAATCACGAATAATTTGTAGTTTTTCTTCACATTTAAAGTTACTGAAGATAAAGATTATCTCTAAAGCAACATGAGAATCACGAAAAAAAAAAAAAAAAAAAAAAAAAAAAAAAAAAAAAAAAAAAAAAAAAATAAATAAATAAATAAATAAACAGCCATATTAAAACTGAGCAATTGTATGAAAACCCACCATTGCATCTGTACTTGAGTTTCTGTGATCCTCTGACAGGGAGTCCGGATATGACCCTGCCAACTGGGAGGGCCGCCAAGACAACTTGGAACAAGAACCATCCCAACACAATCATAGTTGCCTTGGAGTCAAAATAATCCGACACTTTCTTGGGGAACATTGGCATCCTCAACTTGCAAGAATCCTTATGGAATGGGATAAAGCAAAGATTATTACTGGTCTATTGTAAAATAAGTGAGCACATAAAATTACAAAAGATCAATAGCAGTTTAAAAAATCTAGTGTGCTAAACTAAAATAGATCATATTTATCTTACCTTGGCACACAGGAGATTGAGAGTGTAAAGCATAACTGGTGAAAGCAGTATTCCAAGCAGTGCAAAAACTGGACCTGCGAGAGACTGGTCATCTCCTCTTGCTTTTGACCTGGGAGGGCTAGATCTTCGTGCAACCTCAACTTTCTTCTCAGGTTCATACTATAAAAAAGTTAAAAAGGCATTAGCATATACTCTTGACAAGCTTTTTAATAATGAATTTTTATCAAAAAGAAACGAATGGTTAATATCAAACCAAACTTTAAAACTGTGTTAGTTAATCTACAGTATGAAAAATTAGGAAGAAAAAAAATTGGAAAAATCTACCTTGTCAAGCTTTCAGGCAGTGAGTTTAAATAACTCAGCAGTGCAGCAGCAAGTCCTATAAACTCAGACGCAGCATAAAAAACCGACCTTGCCATTTAACGGAAACAAAATGCATCCTCCTCCGACAGTTCCACAGCAAAACATGGCATTAGACCATTTTCATATCACAAACACACAGTAATATACACTGATTATTTACCTTCTGGACTCATGGTAGCATTTAACCATTTTTTTAAAAACATTGATAATGACCCTTTTTTCTCAACAGCTTGTCAGTTTGATTAAATTACCGTAAACTTTTGCATAAGCAAACAAATCAGCTAGCATGAGTTCAGTTACTTATGAACATCAATTAAAAATACAAAATTCTAGCATAAATAATCTATCAATAGCATCAACCACAGAATTTAATACCTGCTTTTCTGCAAGCCTTGCAGATTGCCTTGTAGGAGTAGAAGGTGTGGCTGCAGCACGGGTCTTTGAAGAACTGCGAGATTTTGAAGAACTGCGAGGTTTCCTGGCTGGGGATGGACTTTGCTTGGCTTTGCGAGAAGGACTTGCCTTGGACTTGCGCCCCGGAGATCTGCCCCGACTTCTAGATCTGGACCGTGACCTAGAACTTCTGGTGAAGTTTGACATGGCCTAAATTTAGAGAGAGACAGAGAAAAAACATGGTCAATTTTTGCATATATCAGGTTGCTTTTTTTTACTCAAAGTTCTTAGTTGATAATTTTACTAAAGGCATTGATTTCACACAAAGGAAACCATGTCAGAGATATATTACATGCTGGGGAGCAAAAACTGGAGTAGTAGTTCAGTCAGTAACCTTCAGTTCACATCTATTCTTTTATAAATTAGAGGATAGCTGTTTAACCTTGGTATACTTCACTTTTCAAGTTTCCTACTTTATAAATCTTACAGTTTTTATCCTTATAATGATTAAATGCTTAGTGATAAAAAGTATTTGAAAGAATCCATACGACTAAAGCTATCACACAAATTTGTAATTTCTCTTTAAAGAGATAAAGCTATCAATTAGACTTATTCTGGTTCTCCTTCTATTTAATGCACACACACAGTAAGGAAAGACTGCCAATGTCACGCAAAGTGTCAATTTGAAGGAAAATTACCTTAAAAACACCTGACAGTAGGAGTAAATAGTGCAAACTGTTAGTAGAAAGATTGAAAGGCAGGTTTACATTGCAGACAAGTCTGGCATTTTCTGTACATTTTATTTTGTCATACAGAAAAGGCCTATACAAGTGTCACATATTGCCTACAGGTAGCTAGTAATACAAAATCAAGGAAGTTTGAACACCCAGATTTATTAAACCATGAATGAAATAATATAAATGACACTTTATGTATTGACAATATGTGACACTGAGAAGGATCAACCACTCTTCAATGTAATGTTTAAGGGACAACACAAGACTTCAAATTCAAACTAAAACACACAGTAAGGAGTGGAAGCTACTCTGCAAACTCACCCTTTAATTACTTACACTGATGTGTTTTTGGCTGATAGTTTCTTCAGTTCCTTCCATATATCTTACAGTGTAGCGCCCATCTTTATTGTTCAGAACCTTGGCTCGAAACCAAAGATTACTGCCTGGCCATTTTGCATAAACTTCATCTCCCACATCATGTAACCTACTCTTTTGTGGACTGGACATAATTTGTGTTTTTCCCCAATTTAAATGTGTTCTTGTATTGCAGGTAGCTAATACCACTAGATTTAGTATCCCAAAAAATTAGGCCTACAAGTGAAATAAAATAAGCAAGAATTTATGAAGCATGCAAATCAAGTTCAATTGTGTTATTACACCTTTTCCCATGAAAAAGATAAGCAGAAGTTAACAAAGCCCTACATAATATACACAGTGTGAATACCTGTTTTGCAGGTCTTGCGGGAGTTCCAGGCATTCTGAGTGCTTCTTATCTGTAATAACTTAAAACAGTACCACACTTTGTCAATTGTGCATCTGAATGCCAATGAATTAATTATTTCTAGTATACCATGACCAAATATTCAGGTTCATTTGCAGGAAATCACACACACCCATTCATTATCACATCTCAAATTAATATATATAATGTAAGATGTTTTATGGTTGTAGATATTTGAAACTATAAAGCTGTCATGCAGGTGCCATATTTACAGTATAATCAAAACACATGGGGTAAATATAATTACAAAATAAAGTCAAGAAACTAACACATTGACATACTATAGTACTGTATTTTAACATGAATAAACAAGTTTTTTTTTTTCATTTTACTCTCATTGGCCCAATGACAATATCCATTACGTCATTACAAAGCTCTCTGATTTTTAACATTAACAGGTATTATGCCATCAAGTGAGAGACTTCCGAGATAAATGCTTAAACAACTGCTGTAATTTGCAAGCACTTATACAGCGTAGAGAGTAAGCCTGTGACTTACAATCAGGCAAGCTATATTAACTGGCTGTACTGATGTGCCAATCAGAACCCTTTTGGAATGTCACGAAATATAGTGTATTAACAGGGCATGTGATATAAATTGATTAGCTAATGGATAGTACTTCTGATCTCCACATTCCCATTCAATTCGTCAACTTTCGTTTTAACTTGTAGTTTTCATCCAAAATCATCCCTTAATTACATAACTCTTTTGTTTAATACATTTCCGTTTTGCAATGTTTACCATATCATGACAGCGCTGGGAAACGCTACTTAAAATGTCTCACCGGGAAACGTTTGCCATAGGCAGCGTCATATCATGACCTAATTTCAAGGTCGTGCCTTCATGTTTTAATATGGCCTACTTGACCTAAAAAACTATCTACCACATATATCTCGCCAAGAATCATTTACAGAGTCTTGTGACATACGTCGATGTAAATTATTACTTGAAAGGGCACAATGCTACAAACAATTACGATTCATGACAAACAAATCTACACTAAATTAATAAAACCGATGCGCTGGTCGGTGACCGGGCACTTGTCATTGTTTCTTTTGCAAGCAAAGCAAAGGAATTTTGACAGCATCGACGAGATATTGGTTAAATATGTTAAGGAGCTTAAATGGATTTACATTTCCAGATGTGCATCTACCACCCCTTTATATGTAAATGATTGTCGACTTACCTTTAATTTCGTAAAACTTTGCTACGTTTATAAAACCGAAGTAATTAATCTACCCTTTGAACTTGAATAACCCACGCTAAAGCGTAACCGACGCTTTGGCGGGCTTCGTTCTGATTGGCTGATAGCTGACACAAATGTAGCTAGTTGTCTGATTGGCTACTTTTGTTTGTAATTTAAATACAATATACCGCTAGATGACGCCACAATCAACAAAAATCTCAATGCTCTGTTTGTCATTTCTTTAACTGTGTGTAATGATCCTTGTGTTCAATCTATTCAGCAAATTATTAAATTACGAAGGATATGTATTCTGGCTAACCATAGTGTTTTCTAACAGCCAAACAATGTATCTAGGGTTTAACAATGATGGCTAAAATTCAGTCAAGTTTTAATTTTTTGGACTATTCATCTTTATCTTCTGTTACAAAGATTGTCACCCATTCAAATGTTACTTTACCCTCAAAGATAGTCAAACCAAACCCGAAGGCTAAACCCTGTATTTTTAAATAAAGCATCTCCTTTACCTATGATAGTGGTAAAAACTTCTGTTGCCCTCTTGGGCTACATGTATAATCCAGAGCACCGTTATTGTTACCCAGATAGATTTTTTTCATGGACATTGATACCAAACATCTGCCAGTTCAAAGAGCAAGGATAAATAATACTTCAGCTTAAGATGGCAGGCAATCAAACTGACACAACTGAGAAATCAAACCTATCGCAATCCTGAGGCCTGCATAGCCAACAAAATTTCTGAGGCTTTTGTGGTTTCATGCACGGCAGGGATTTTGTTAATACAGAGCACCTGCAGTTGTCTGCAGGTGATAATATGAAAATACCCCCCTTCCTTCATCTTAAGATCCTATTTAAAAAAAACTGAAAAGTTCCCCAAATATTGTTGCTTTTGTTCCTTTCAAATCCACGCATCAAGTTCCAGCAGAGCAACAGCAATAACAAGAGGTAATTTTTTCTAGAGCTGGAAGAATCACTATATTTGACATAATTTCAGAGGTTAAAATAACCTATCAATAACCTCATCTATTTACATAGCAATTCAAATGTAAAGCAATAAATAGTAAGTAATTTTGGCTACCTTTATTGGTTTCTTTTTACATGATTAAGGTAAAAGGCATACATATGTATATATATATTTATAATTGATATTGTGGATACCATATCAAAATTATGAACAGAAATTATAAACAGAATAGCAAGGTTCCTCAAAAACAGGTTAATGTTAAGGGAAATGCTTAATTTGAATTTTGACTGAATGCATTTATGACTTAACCCTTTTTAAAGTCTTTCTTTCTGTATCTCTAATTGAAACAATTATTCAGCAATCATTACATATAAAACAAGTGAACAAAGAAAACAAATATTCTTAAATAGACAAATCATTCTTCTATTCTACAGGTGACTTAAGATGACATTTATACAAAGTCACTACATTCACATTTCAGAGATTTTTTTTTATTTAAAGACAATACTCTCTCACATCCAAAACATCTATGATTTTGAAGTCTTTTCATTTTTCCATGCTCTTCATGAAATTATCCTTTTTTGCACAACAATGCTATACTCTTCTACTCCAATAACCTTACCAAATCATCATCTATTCAGTAATTATGCAACTCTGTTGCATATTCCATTTTCTAAATGTAACAATTAAAATTCTTCCAATATCCACAAATGACGCAAGAGACTAAATTTGGCAACAAACCACTGTTGCAAATAGCCTTTGAATTACCTTGTGGTACCTTACATTCCATGCAGTTACTAATTGAACATTTTAATCACATAAATCAATTGGTGACGTATTGCACTCAGTCTGTATAAAGTAAGTAGTAATCTATACCTTCTTTTACAGCATTTACTTTCACTGACTAGGACACCCATAGCAAAGGCACTCGGTCATTGTGCACCCGTGCATCTCGTGTAATCTCAAATATAGTTTTTTGTTTAGTTTTAATTTTGCTAAAAATGCCAAGTCTATTACCCTTTTGTTGCCATAGAAATACCATAGATGAACTAAACAAAACAATATCAAGAAATATACCTAGCAATGAAACTAAAAATAATTTCCTTGTTTCTTTATTTTCTGATAATTCACAGATCCGTGTATAAAAGGGCAAGTGAGTTTGTGGTTGTTATGAAAAATATCAGGCAAGCAATAATATTTATTGGTGTCTTAAAGTCTTGGAATGAAATTCAGATTACCTCTAAACATTATATTAAACCAATCACTACATCATCATAAATATTACATGGTTACAAAGGACCCTCAAATTAATGTAATGATTACATCAACAAACACAATTATTAACTCGAGGTTTTTATATATACAGATCCATACTCTTGCCTCCAGACTTTTCGTATCTTTCAAAACCTACCTTCTGGTAGAACGATTGCCAACATTTACAAACTCGTATATATAATAGTAAATTTTTCATATGTCAACTGAAAGACCGATCTCGTCCAAAATGTTCTGATTTTAAGGGAAGACATGAGCATTTCATCTGTACTGAAAGTAACTCTTCTTTCACTACCATTTGCATAGATTAATGCCTGGTGTGATTTAACTGAAATGGTACATATGCAAATTAAAAACAGACTTTTAAAAAGCAATGCCCCTGGGAAAGCTAGCTATACTACCTAAAAATGCAGATAGTTAGTAAAAGTTGATCAGCCCTGTAGTAGGCAAGTGGACACTGAATGTTGAAGAAATTTTACATACAGAACAGAAAAAAGTATTAATTACTTTATATCCTTCACAATTTACATGCATTATTTATATACACACGTGGTGGCCATTTCATGGCTCCAATACAATTAATATTCTGGAACATGACAATGCACCAGTATTCATTGAATAAAACTTGGTCAAACTTGTGACAGTTTTGTACTCATGTCCCGTCTTATCCAGATTCTGGATTCTTTGCACATCTTCTGTCAAGACGTTTGGTTCCTATCCCTATTGTTACACAATAAGGATTTTCAAAACATGTGCGACCAATAGCTTTCTTCACATACAATCAACAATACTTTATTTCTGTAAGATTCCCGCCTTACTTTTGGTCTCCTTTTTTTGGAATGATGTATACTTCCTCCACAATAAAAAAGTTAAGTCTTAAAAACAAGACACTATAATGGAATTCTCCAACAACTGAATTGTAAGGAATTATATATTGGATATAAAAAGGAAACCTTATTTTTATACTATGCATTGGCATTTCAGAAGCTAGTATACCATTAATTGACCAATTGGCAATAGCTGCTAATATCTTCACCCCAAGGCATATCCATGTATTTGCTTTAATTGCTTAATTAATACTGGTGCAATATGGAGATGTCCTCAAGTGCAGAAAACCTTGTAAGCTCACAAATTCTTTCTTCCATATGTCTTGAATATATGTAAGTGCAAAGCAGCGAAAAGCTACATGATATAATAATCTTTTTTGCCAAGTTCCCAAGCTTTAGCAGCTTATAACTTCTGACAAGTAAAATGAAAGATTCAAATGGGCTTTACAACTGGGTGCTTCAGTGGCATGGGGAACGTAACTGAGTCCAGTCCAAAGAGATTTCATGACGGTCAAAACCTTCTGGTCCTGGCGTTTTTATATCAGCAGATACTGCTTTAAGGACCTCTGCTTCACCATATATTTTCAAATGATAACCCATAATATAGATATGAAGCTTTCAAGAAGAGAGGGCTCCTATAAAATACAGCCATGTTAAAAGGATGTCTCCTTCCTCCTTGTGGCAGCACCTGTATAATGGTCTTGTTGTTCATCACACTGTGTATAGAGATTTATCGTCTGTTCAATTCTTGCCTTATGGCTGAAATTAAAAAACAATTGTGTATGTTTCATAGAAGAAATAGGCTATTGGTTATAAAAGTTCATTAATATTGATGTTTCTGTTAACTTAGCTAAAAAAAAATTATTGGGTGTCAAGTTTTGCAGGCTACAGATTTGACTTTGACTACTTTTATTTTTCTGAAATTCACGGCAATCAAGTACCTTCAATTATCTCCTGTTTGGCTTTCTGTATTTCTTTCCTCATTTCATCCAAGATTTCTTGTTTGAAAGCTTCCATATTTGAGCTGCTGATACCTGCATCGTCACTGCTTCTAGACGTCCCATTAGCAACACTGTCAGCCAACCACCTGCAGGAATAAATTAGAATACATCAATAAATAATTTTAGCCAACCACCTGCAGGAATAAATTAGAATACATCAATAAATAATTTTAGTTAAAGTCTTTGTGTCCTTCAAATAAGAATGGCTTGTATCTATCTAGGTATTATGCAGTACAAAAGTAACTTTACTTCATATGCTGAGAGAAATTTTTAAAGGCATGTGATTCTTTCCAAAACCTTTGAGAAATCTTGATCTATTTCATTTTATTGACTGTCACAACCGACATTTATCAGTCTGTATTTCCGTTAACGAGAGTGACTCAAAAACTAAAAACATACGACTCAAACAAATTTTGGATCAGAAATATGTGTAGGGTTACAATAATAATAATAATAATAATAATAATAATAATAATAATAATAATAATAAACTTTGTAAAACATGTGAGCTGTGTACAGTTATCTTACACATGGCCTTTTTAGATTAGGTATCCTTGGTAATTAAGGGAAATTTCAATATAAATTGAATTCTTGCAATATAAAGGTCTAATGCTCATTTAAATGCCTTTAACCTTCAATACTATCTAAATGTGGACATGGACAAAATAAGATAAATATTATGTAGGTAGGTTGACATAATTTGCCTGATGTCTATTCACACTTCCTGTGATTCATGTAATATTTTCCAATACTCTAAATTAGGTTTGTTAATTACTTAATAAATTTTTCTAATATTTCAATTTCAAGATTTTTCCTGATTAATGCCTTGTGCATTATAAATTATTTTGTTAATACATATTGAGTATTAACCATATTTGAAATATTATTTACCTTCGACCAAGTTTGGGCGACTCTGAACCATTCACTTCTACTGTTTTGTGACCATTGCCATTTGATGAACTCAGTGACATTTTTCTCTTGATTTCCCCAATATTTGGTGAAGATGAAACTGCTGGTATTGGGGGTGCACTGCTGGCGCTACTTGTGGAATTATCTTCCTACAGAACAGAAGTCAAGAGAGCTTAGGTAAGTGTCTATAATCAAGTTGCAAGTTTTCATTTCTTCAATAGTTTAACTGTGTGTGCTTTACAACATGTTGGTGAAAAATATAGAACAAGGTAGCAAAGCTGTCAAATGTACAGACAAAAAGCAGGAAATAACAAAATAGGCTACTGTCAATTCTGATGCAAAAGTACATTATGTTAAACTGCAAATTCAACATCAAATTTTAATTATGCTCAACAGGTAATACTAATGTAAGTAAAATGTGAAACAAGCATAAAGCTTCAGGCCCATGGGAGTTCAAGATCACACTTTGAAAATGTAAAACTTCCAGAAAAAGAAGTCAATTAGACTGCTTTTCCAACTCAGGCTGCATTTCAGTCCTGTATTTCTTTTTTGAAAGTTTGGCAATAATAAGTAACATGGTTTTCCCATAATGGTCATCATGGCAGCAACACCCAAAATTGTGTTTTCTTCTATTCTGATGCAATATTACATAATGGTTAACAGCATAATGACAATCAATTTTTAATAACAAAATATATGTATCATGGATTTTCAGAAAATGTGACTAGCCTGGGTCTTCAAGCCTGTGGAACTTCAAAGTCACACCTTGAAAATGCCAATATGTGAAAAATTAAATTTTCACAAAAAAA